TAACCTTCAGCTCTACTCTGCTAACAGCGGGTTGCTTGCCTCACTGAGATGTTAAGCTTCATTGAAGTCACTGGTGATCAGGCCCTGACCTTCACTTTAAGTATATGCATTATTAAATATTCATAATCCACGTAGCTGTAGCATGAGAGGGACCTGAATTTAAACATTAATCAAAGGAATAAATATCTTCACACGTGTGAATCATCATTGCCCACAATGCTACTGCAAGGATGCAAATCCCAAGGATTCCAAGCTGTCCCCCTTTCTTACAGGTTCTGGCTTCCTATTGAAATTCTACAAGCAGCGTTCGCTTCCTATTATTCAATTCATGAATTCTACCCTCTTTCTGGCACAGTTGTGTTTCTCTCCCTTATCTATTAGAAAGGAATTATTGGTCCTATGTCTAGGGGGAAAATCAGGGATGGAAGAGTGATAGTGACTTTATCACCTGGATGTGTTCCAGGGGGCATTTTGGATTTGGCTGTACAATATAAAAAAAATCCTGTTATGGAACATTACAGTGTGCTAGAAGAAAGGGTCATCAGTGGTACCAAAAACACCAGGGAATAAAAGGGAGTAGGAGGTAGAAGCGAGTGGCTGCTGAATTTAACTCAAAGCCCTAAGAGAAAATGAAGAGTAAAAGGGACAGAGTTAAGACTGTATTTTGACCGAATTTATGTTTAAAAAAACAACTAATTGATGAAGACTTTTTATGACTTTTTGTACTTGTTAGAGGTCATACTAAACATATAACTAAACAAACGGGAGAATATCTTCCTCTATATGATTAAAAAACATATTCCTGCACTGAAGTGGACTTTAACAGATTATAGAGCTATTCGCTTTGGCTAAGTTGGCTCCTAGAACCCTAGCTAATCCTGTCTTAGCTACTTGTTTACTCCTAGAAGCTACAGTATTGGACTACCCTTAAATATCTCCATGAACCTCCTTCCAGTTTAGAGGGTCTTTGACACAATGTTCCTCCTGAGTTCTATCATAAGCTAACAAGGAAATGGAACTGCTGATTGGACAGGACTGCAGGGATGAAAGTGAATGGAAATCATTAATCCATTGGTTCTTTGAGGTCTTGTGAGAATTTTGAAAGTCGATACCAAAGAAACAAACAAAAAATATAGCTCACTTAAAAATCTCACTGAACTACCTAATGGACATCAAGAAAGTCCAATAATTCTGAACAATGTATCTTTTGATTAGTATAGCTTCCATCACAATATCTCAGTAAACCCTTAAACAGCAAAAAACATCTAAGATAGATCAAATGAGGCAATAGATGTAAAGTGATCTGCAAATTGTAGAAGGCTATTTAAAAGTTAGAAATTATTATTCTTATTATTTATCTACCAAATAGGCCACAGAATGAGCTAATCTGCACTCTCTATGCCTTTGTCAGAGAAATTGAGAACTTGGTACTGCCGCTGGCAGGGATTTTCTAGCCTGTTACACATCTGAGATGTTTAAATATTATAAAGATTGGCTCCCAGTACGTAACCAGAGTACATTAACCATGAGTGAGTTAAGTTCTAATGTGATTTAGGATAAGACAACTGGATATTCCAATCTTCTTCACTTTGACTCCGTCCTTTCATCCAACTTCCATAGACTATGTATGTGCATATACATATACATGTGTGTGTACATATATGTGTCTTAGCTTCACTTCTTGACTGAAAAGTTTTCTTTTCTCTTGATCAAAATTTTTTATACCATTATTAATTGCTCTAAGTTTGGGCTCACTTATAATCTACTCCACACAGTTGGCCTTTTTACATGATTTTTAATCAATATTTTAAAATTATGAACCTCCAAGAGGACAGCCATCCAGTCAGTGTATGAGCTACCGTTATGCTTTTCCAGGGAGGATGAAGGAGATAACTGTGCTGACTTTGGTATTACTGTCTTCTTCAAAAACTTTAAAAGTCAAAGATACAAGAAAGGGTTCAATGATTGCACGGTATTATTAATAATAGACCTAATGGGTTAGGTGACTTGCCCACCTTCACACAACTCATAAATGTCAGTCACAAGACTTGAACCCAGGTCTTGTGGTTCTAAGGCTGGCTGGCTGTCCACCAGGCCTCTAAGTATACCAAGGCCCCTCTAAGACTACGAGTTACAGACTAGTTGGCAGTCTATGTTGTTGAAGGGAGTTGAATGCCATGGAACCACATTGTTCCCTATACAAATGAAACCCTCAATTCAACGCCATTCCCCTATTAAAGTAAGAAGGTTCAAGTATGACCAAGGAAAGAAAGGACTAGGGCTAGACTGAAGGACTTTCTTCAGGCAGATGAGACGTTGCTGCTGTGTGGTGATCTACATTTGGACAATGGTTTACCAAGTGTTTTACGTGCATATAGTTATATAGTTCTTTATGGTTTACAAAGTACTCTCATTTGATTCTCACAACAACCCCTTGAGATGAGTATTGCCAGTATTATGATCCCCAGTTTATGGATGAGGCAACTGGAGCTGAGAGATAAAGCAACTTGCCCAGGGTCACAGAAATAGCAAGTAGCATCAACCGGGCCTTCTGAGCCTAATGCCAGTGCTCTTTTGATTACACCCCAGCTGTCTAAGAGTGCATTTCAAATCGACAGAACTTGTGCAATTATACCACTCCGGATAAGAGTTCAGAATAGCTAACAGTAAAACTGCGGGAAATCCAGGACTAATTTTGCAGCGCAGATACTGCCGATAATTGTCTAAGGGTTCTCAAGATAGAATCTTATCTGTTTTATGAGGGAAAATAGAATCAGAGAGGACCCCAACCCTCTTTGCTCTTCAGTTCCTTCCAGGGGCTAGTTTCATCGTAGGGTATAGGATGGGGTAGGGTATTTAGGAGAGAGAGTTTTTGTTTCCAAATATCCCTTCTCTTCTTCCACCTCCCATGAGTCGAAGGCAAAGTCTGGCTTTCCAGGGAATGGGGTTCATGCTATGAGACACTATAAAGAAGGACAACATTTCAATTGTTTGTCAATAAGGATCATAATTTTATTTGTAATAACAAAACAAGAGAGAAAAGAGAAAAGAAAATAGAAAATGGTCCAGGAAGGAGCAAGCTGGCCGTCCATCCATCCATCTAGTTCCAATAGTCATCCAATTCCAACACTCACCCGCATAAACAGACCCACATTTCCTGGAAGATGAGACTGACTTCCTGAACACCGACCGGGGCTGTGGTGGCAGAGATGATGGGGCATATTGAAGACACACACTCTTATCTCTAGAGATAAGGTGGAGAAAAAAGAAAAGGGACTTAGCAAAATTTCAATTCAACAAACAAAAATGATAAGGAAACAAATATGATAAATATTTTAAAACAACTTACCTTTCCCAAAATAGAAATCTGCATTCCTCCAGGCCTCGAGCAGCTCTGTTCCTTCTTAATCAGCATCTGATGTCTGATGGAATTCTGCCTGACTAAATCAAGTTATAGATGTATGGTCCAGCCTTGTGGGAGGGGGGTTAGGCTGAATAACCTTTAGTAGTCAGAGGACTCTGGATGTGGTTTCTCCCTAGCCTAGAACAATTTTGTTCTGAGATCAAAATGGGAATCTTTTATTTCTTTTTTGATCCCTGCAATGGTTTCTTGAGCTCTGTATATAAATGCAGAGACCCTGAAGTAGCTTCTAAATTCCCTCTGATACAATCTTCCATTTATCCTGCGTATTCTTGTACATTCATGTTATTTGCATGTTGTCTCCTCCGTTAGAATGTGAGCTTCTTGAGGGCAGGGCTTTTATTTTTTGCCTTTTTTTGTATCCCCGGCACTTAGCACAGAGCTTGTTGATTGTTGAATGAAAACATGTCAAAGGGGTCTATTTATTGGTATTGAGCAGAGCACCATTCAGAAACAATGCTGAATGTGGGGCTTAGGAATGCTGAGGTCTGAACCAATTCTCAAAGAAAATAGGCTCCCCAAGAACTGAAGATTCTTCAACAGTGAAAATGTTGGATAGAGAGAACGGGGCTCAGGAAATAACTTCACAGCGGACAAATGAAGGAGAAGGTCCCCAAGCACAGTTCTTGGATTTGGGAATTGCAAGTAAGGCAAGCACCATCCAAGGATAATGAGGTTCCTTCCCAGGTCCTGCCCAGTGGGTTAACTGTCACTTTGAAAGTTTCAACCAGAATAGTCAAAAGAATTGTGGCTTCCAAGGATAGCTTTCATTTGAACCAGAACTGAATTATGGTAAGCCCACAATTAGTGAGACTGTATTCCATATTCATCTGCCTTCAGCTAGCTCAGCACACACTGCTTGACACAGGCTAAAGGTCAGGGAGGTTTAACAACTCCCTTGTATGGTTGCATAAAAAGACCTAGTATAATTTCCACATTCAGAACTTTTGGGGGGAGGTGGTTTTGACCTCTATCCATCCCCAAGAGCTCCTGTGTCAGTCTATAGTGCCCCTTTCCTTTAGGCACCAAGAGACTCACTGGGAGACGCTTTGGCTTTTAACTCAATGTGAAAGGCAAAAAGAATAATTTTATTTTTACCAGGTGTTCTCCCAAACATTAGGAATACAAGGAAATCCTAAATAAGGAAATTAACTTATAAAAGCAACAGCCATGGCACTTCCAAATTACTTACAGCAGAAACCCTCCTGGTGAGCCTCCTTTGGGCTATAGATTCACTTTCAATGCCCCTTTCCTCTTGCCTTTTTTTTTAGTTTAAATTTTGATTCAAAAAGCAGCTCAGCAAACCCTAACCTAGAGCCAACACTCAAAGTTGGGGAGGGGTGGAATACCCCAGGCATCTAAGTCTCTCTCTTCTCCTCCTACCCCAGCCAAGTCAACACACAAGGCTCTAACCATCTTCCCCAAGCTTTGCCATCCATGTCAACACAGAGCATCCCTGCCCTCTTCTCACAGTCAGGAAACTAGTTAAGTCACATGTCAAGGGGAGAAAAACTGGGTACTTTAAAGGTTAGTCATTGTTTTAGAAAAGAGGGAGAAGAAAATGTATGAGAATACTCACTTTGACGAATCTATGAAGTATATGACAAGGGCCCCAATGCTAAGAGCAAAGACTAAGACAACCTGTAAAAGAAGAGAAAACAGAAGCATCACTGTAGAGTTGATTACAGGTCAATCACGTTCTGACACATGCAGAACACTGGCATCATCCATCTTTTAATGGCCTATTGTTTTGCCTGGGGGCTTTGGGAGTACAGTCTTATGGACCATACATTACCACAGACAACATTAACCTTGCTTCATTATATTTTAAAAAGTAGCATGTCCCACTGATGTAGGAGAGATAGATGCTTTCTGAAAGGTAAATTCTTCTGAAGCAGATTCATTCATTTTAGAAGATAAACTTTCCTAAGTGGTCTGTTCTTTATCCTGGACAAGCTCTCTTAGGTTGAAGATGGAAGTGGCTTCACAGTTTTATCTCAAATTGTAATTGTATACATGTAAACATGTATAACTGTATTGGGCTGTATTTAACTGTATTGGGCCTAAGACAAAACCTGAGTGTGGACTATAATCACAATTAATTTTTTCAGTGCATACTCTTTTACCATGTGTATTTTTGTAAGCTGCTAAGGAATAAGGATTGTTTCTTTGTTAGTTCTTTTTTTTTTGGTAGCCCATACTATCTTAGTGTCTGTAAAATCATAAGTGCTTAATAAATGTTGGATGATTGATTCTTTCCAAAATAAATCATTCTAGGGGTGCAACTTACATTTTAGGCTAGTTTACAGGCAGAACACTACTTTGCATATACATAAACTTTTTATTTTATGTATATTTTATTAGTGCATCTTATACAAGCATTCATCTAGGCACATACATACACAGAGCTTTCAATTTGCTCAAGCTGTTCTGACATCCTCAATCCTTACCAAAAGGGGTCAGGGCAGGATCTCTTAGTATCTGATCTATGATATGGCTTCATTATTTTACCATTCTAACTAATCACTAAAACAGAGACAACAAATAAAGACAGTATAACAAGTGGAAATTTGGTGAAAATTTACATTTGGATAATAACAATAGCTAGCATTTACATAATGCTTTAAGGTTTGCAAAGATTTAAGAATATAATCTCATTTGATCCTCACAACAACCCTAGAGGGTAGGTGCTACTGTTATCCCCATCTTACAGAGAAGGAAACTGAGGCAGACAGTTGCCCAGGGTCACACAACTAGTATCTGAGTTCAGACTTGAACTCAGATTTTGCTGATCCCAGGCCCAGCTCTCCATCCACCCTGTCACCTAGCTGCCTCAGCTATTGAACATAGCGGCAAGACTATTAATGGGAATCCCAGGAAGCTCATATTTAGGTCACATTATGGCTTAATAATAGCTGACATTTATAGAGTGCTTTAAAGTTTGCAAATCCCTTCACATATAAGATTATATTTGAATATCACAGAAACCTTGTGAGTTGAGTTCCCCCCATTTTATAGATGAAACTATTTCAGAGATGTTAAATGACTTGCCCGTGTTAGCACAGCTAGTATACCATTTTCATTACTCTATGCCGCCTCCCAATGGTTTAGAAAATATTAACCTGCATACATACTCAAATAATCAGATGAATCCATGATCTCATCCACGTGGATATTATTCCCATGGATGTAAATTACAATCCACCCATGCCCTCTCATCCAGTGGGACTTTTCCCTATGTCTTCCTATAAGATTGCCATAGGGAGTTGGCCCAATGTACTTAGAGCCTTCCTCACTTTCTTCCTCACACACATTCATACAACACATATTTGCCTAACAGCTCAAATACACATAATTATTATGCAGCATCATGCAGGAAAATATTTTATATTCCTAAAGCTGAATTAGATTCCTATAAAAGGAAAGTTAAATTGATTTTTACATTCCTTCCGATGTTTGTGAAACACTTTGTATATGTTATCTCATTTGATCTTTAACATAAGCCTGTTTGAGCCTCAGTTTCTGCATCTATAAAACATAACACTTGCTCTGTCTAATTCACAGGGTGGGTGATCGATCAACTTGGATAATGGATACCAGGTTATCATTATTGTATGCATGTATGCAATAGAGACTCATAGATACCTACGTGCCACGGCAAACCATGCTAAATTATCAATTTAATGTCTTTCAGCCTGAACAGGATGTTTGTCAAGGCTAAGAATTCAAAGGGAATTCATGCTAGAATTCACAAACTACTCTGGCAAAAACCAATTGCATTAATAGTGAACCAGAAGACAGAAAGCAAAAAGGAAATCATAGCAAAAGAACTACCCGTTGCAAATGGAAGGAGAATTTTTACAGCCACTTGACAAACCCTATTTATGAGAGAAAATGTTAAACCGGGACTTGGGGCTTTAAATATTTTAGGTTGGTTTCTTTGATTTTACAATTAAGTTGCACTTGAGTAGAATTTGAATAGACTACTGTTGTCCATCAACCACAGTCTCTTCATGCTAATCCGTGAGACAGGCTCTCTTAGCCTGTTACATCATGCTCATTCATTCATCCATTCATAAAAAACAGACCTCAGTGGGGGTTTTTCCCCCTCCTGTTGGCTGAGGGAAACAGCAAAACAAATGGCTTAAGATTAATCTTGATCTGGACAGTCATGGGAGAGATAAGCAGGCAGATCCCAAACCTGACCTCATTCCAAAAGGCTGCAAAAACACAGGGGTGGAGCCAAAGCACAGGGCAAAGGATTTGTAGCCATTCATAAATGGCAGGTCCAAGAGTACTTCATGTCCATTTGGCTCTGAGTGAATGAGCATTCATTTACTAACTGGACCAGGGAAAGTTAGGCTGGTCAAGGCCACTGAACCCCACAGTAGGGAACAGGGAAGCGAGTGTTATTTCATGGGCATAGGTAATTCCAGAGAGAGGAAATTCCTTCCACTAGTGGAGGTTGGCACCTTCTCTGCAATGTCTTAGATAATTAGACAATGTTTAATGTCTTAGATTCTTAGAGAGTTGCCTAGGTCACTGAGAGGTTAAGTTAGCTGTCCAGGGTCATAGAACTGCCCAAGGTCCTAAAGACAGATGTTCAGTCATTCAGTTGTGTCTGACTCTTTGTGATCCCATGGACCATAGCATACCAATCTGTCCATGGGGTTTATCTTCACAAACATACTGGAGTGGTTTGCTATTTTCTTCTCCAGTGTATTAAGGCAAAGAGAAGTTAATAACCTTGCCCAAGATCACACAATTAGTTAAGTGCCTGAGGCTGGATTCTAACTCATGTCTTCCTGACTCCAGGTCCAGCATTCTGTCCACTGAGCCACCTAGCTGCCCAGTAAGTATATTTTACTACTGACAACATGATTACTTGAAAGCTTTCTTTTTCCCAGATCTTCTCCCTTGATCTTCTCCCAGAGAAGTAGTCAAATAAAGTCCCTTGCACTAATTCACTACAAGTAGTTTTTTTTTCTTAGATTCCATGATAAGAAATAGTACGTTGGGACTGAGTGTGGTGGAACATATCTGAAATCCCTACTGCTGAGGCCAGAAGATCTCTTGAGCTCAGGAGTTCTGAGATATAGTAGAGTCAAGCCCACTAAGAATCAAAACTAAATTTGGCATTAATATGGCAAGTCTAAGAGGAATGGAGACACTAGGTAGCCTAAAGTTGGAATGGAGCAGGTCAAAGCTCATGGTGACCAGAGTGGGACTAAGCCGATGAGTAGCCTCTGCACTTCTACTTTGGATGAGATATAGAGACCCAATCTTAAAAATAATTTTAAAAATAGTACATTGTTGCTATGATCATAATTCCCCTTCACTCTATAGTCCAACCAAACTAGCTTACTTATAATTCTTTATCCATGACATTGCACATCCCACCATACCTGGAATACACTCCCTTCTTATCTCTGTCTCTAAAATTCCCTAGAAAAGTTCAGATCAAATTGTATACCCTATACGAGGCCTCTCCTGATATCTCCAAATGGTAGTGCCCCCTGAGATTATTTTGTATTTACTTGTATATGTGTATGTTGCTTCCCCTAGTAGAACATAAACTCCCAGTATACTATTGGTCAGAGATTGTTTATTTTTGTCTGTATCTTCAGGGGCAAGGCACATAGTAGGTGCTTCATAGATGGTGACTGATTGATTGGTAACATATGGATAGCTTAAGTGCTGCACTAATCCCCATGGATTGTGCATTGGATTAGACTAATTAGTTTTTCTATGGAGACTTCATGGAAAACACGGACAAAAATTGAAGAGAACCAAGAATGTATGGATGTCTTATGCTCTGCACCATGGAAGGTAGCACAACCATCAATAATATTATAACTATGACAATAGCTAAATAATATTATATAATGCTTTATTACTACTAATACTTTAATAATAGGTACATAATACTTTAAGATTTTAGACGTGTTTTACATACATTATCTCTTTGGAACCTCATAACAACCTAGAGAGATTGGTATTATCATTATCTCCATTTTATAGATGAGGAAACTGACGATGAGAAATCAATTGACCTTCTTGGGGTCACACAGCTAATAAATGTTAGAGGTAGGTTTCACTCTCAAGTCTTCTTGGATCCATGGATGTATTAGTGTGAATTAGCAAATGGCTGTCTTTAATGCTGGATTGTGCTGTTTGGGATATGATGAAATGTACCCAAATGTAAGGGCACAAAGAAAGTAACCACATGCATAAAGATCATTAGGAAACAGAAGACTTCCAAAGGAGAATCATGAAGTCAGAGAATCTTGAAGGCCCTCAGAAATCATCTGACTGAACCCAGACCCTAGTCCTGTGACATGGCCCAACTTCCCAGCCTCAGCTTGAAGACATCCAGCCACAAGGAATCCATGACCTCTCAAGTATTGTTTTTAAATTCTTCTCCCATGCAGGCTTAATCCCTTGGGCAACCATTATCCAAGTGCTGCTCTACTAACCCAGCTCTCCTCCTGATTCTCTGGACTTTTCCACCTCTACCTCAACTATTTTCTCATCCAAGAGATGTTACTAAACCTCCCTGGGTCTTAGTTTCCTCAAATATAAAATGAGGGAGTTGTATTGGGTGACCTTGAACACCCTTTTCATCCATAAGTCCTACAATT